TGTGGCTGCCAGAGCAGGGAACAGGTCACTGGTGACCCCCCGACACAAGTTCTGGGTGAGTTCTGGGGCCTATAAGAGGTTTCGGTGGATGAAGACATCCTGGCAGAGAGGGGTGGAGACTAAGTGGTGGTGAGAGGGACTAGGAGGGGGAGATGAGGAAAGGCAGGATTCCAGTGGCTCCGGGTGGCTGCAGGGGGGCACCCCGACTTGATGATTCAGCAGCAAGAGGCAGGCAGAGGGCCCTGGATGATGGTTGTGCAGAAGGGGAGTGGGAGAGAGGCTGGGGCCCAGGAGGGGGGCTCCCCGGCCTCTGTGGAGGGACAGCCAGTGGGGAAGGAAGCTCCAGAAGGGATGCTGCCTTTGGCACTTGGGGCCTGGAGGCCTGAGGAGGCCTGGGCTCAGGGGCCAGGGGCAGGGGTGGGGTGCAGGGTGCAGGGGCGGGGGTGCAGCAGCTCCTCAGGGATCAGAGGAGCCGGCAGGGAGGCCGGTGCTGGGGCTCAGCGTCCCACAGCGCAGCGGGGTTACTCACTGCTGACTCAGAGCCAGGTGCTCATTTGCATGTTATTCATTTCAAGCCCAAAGGAGCAGGAATACGGGAGCATCTCATCCCCTTTCCTAGCAGCACCACCCCAGAGCTTCTGAGGGCCCCTGCTGTGGCGCGGAGTCTGACTTAGACCTATTGCCTTTTTAAAGGGCTCTATTCAGCTGTGCCCACGGGGCTGTCTGTGAAATGGAGCTGAGGAAAACAAAAAAACCCGAAAAATCCACTTAGGAAGTTTGTATCCTCTCTAAGAACATGGAGGTAGATTTTAATTTTAGGTTAAGAGCTCCGAGCACGGGCCTTCCTACCATCAAATATTATGTATTTTCTCTTAATCGTCCACCTCCTCCCACTGGAACGTAACCCCCAGGAGGACAGGGCCACCGCTGGGCATGCCTGTGCCTAGAACGGAGCCTGACACACAGCAGGGGCCTGACGGACACATGAAATGACGCAGGTCCCCTTCCACGCACTTTCTCTGAGCCCCACAGCCCTGGGCACTCCACGGTTTAGGAGAGGGGGTTCCGGAGAGGGTGAGCACTCCCCTGGGTTAGTCACACCGCACTTTCAGGCGGGACCTCCCACGCGTCATTGTGCAGTTGTTCAGAAGCCACTTGCTAGTTGAGTAGGTGACTCTTCCCGCGAAACCCCTTCGTGCCAGCCCGACCCGACAAGGACATCCCTGACAAGGACAAGCACTGATTTCCACTCAACTCCACCTAGCTTCCGAGGGGCTGACCGCCCTGAGCAGCCGGAGAGCTCAGTGGGCCCCGGTAGGACAGGCCTGCTAAGGAAGCCAGGAGCCCAAGCAGAGTCGGGAACTCTCCGGGAGCCCGTGCAGCAGCTCCTCGGGCCGGACACACGGCAGACCCTGCCTCCAGCGGGACCAACGACACGCTGCGGCCTGCTGTCCAGCTGCCCGGGAGAGCCAGCCGCCTGCCTGCAGCCCCTCGTGTCCTCGCAGCCCTGCCCTGAAGGAGAGATACTGGAGCGAGTGCATGGGGCTCCTTCGCTGCAAGCCCACACCCAGTTTTCCTCAACTCTCTCAGGTCACTGTGTCTGTGGGCCAAGGGCAACCCTACACACAGCAGGAGGTGGCCTTGCGGCAGTTCTGCCCCCCGTGTCTGGGGAGGCCACCTCTCTGTGAATCCGGGCCTGTGTTGGGGGCGCTGCTGGCTTGAGCCACTGCGTAGGGGGGACGGGTAGGTCCTGCCTATGACCTAAATTTTGGGTGTCCGTGTTAGACTTCTGTTGCCCACAGCTAGATGGCTTCGGCTTCAAACCTCGGGGATGTATGATGAGCAAACGGCAATCAAAACCACTTTGGGGAGGAAACGCCCGGTGGAAGGCTCAGGCCAAGAATCAGAGAAGAATCCAGGTGTCTGACCGTTTCTTTGGTAACTGGAGTCCCTTAACTATTAGTACCAACCAAGGTAGTAACTTGCCTTTTTTTCTCTACTACCCAGTAGCGTATATTTCATCACAACAGAGAAAAAAAAAATCCACTCAATCCCCAGTGTCTGGGCCAGAGCAGAAGGGCCACTAAGCACAACAGCTGTTAACACGGCTGACGCTCACTCCCATTAACTGCTTTAGTTCAGGTAAAGGACTGGCGGGAGAGAAATTCTGGCTGGTTCTACGAGGAAAAACATTTCAGAGGTAGTCACCGAAGACGGCAGCAGATGTCACGGAGCAGGAGCACAAGCTACCAGGGACTCCACCGTCCCAAAGCTAAGCCAAAAGAGCTGATGAATACTCAGCTGAGCCAACTGCCCATCCTACACCTAAAGCAGCTCAGAAAGCCAGAGAGGTGAAGAAGTTTCTTTAATTAACAGTCTTCCGTTCTCTCGGCCCACAAATCCGTCAGCCCACGTCTCTTGGGAGCTCCTGCTGGCCGCCCTCACCACGGTAGGCCAACAGCGCGAGCGTGTAAACGCGCGATCTGCGACTCCAGTGTAGACGGTCCAGTCCTAGGGTTACAAGTGACTCCCAGGGCTGGCAGGAGGCAGGAGCTGGCGAGTACGAGAAGCCAATGGCCTGATCCCTTCCATTGGAGCGTGGGGCAGCGGCTCCCAGGACAGGAGCTAGAGTCACGCGAGCATGGGGCTGAATAGATGGTTCTGGTGTTGCCTGCTGCATGATGCTGCTGGTTGTTTACCCTCCTGAACCTCTTTCCCCGTCTGTTAAGCAGGGATACTAGTGCTTAATTTATTGGGTGTTGGAAAAATTACATGTGCGATTACATGCAAAGCATTCGGCACATGGTGCTGCACACAGTAAATGCTCAGAGAACGCAAGCTGTCCTCCCAGGTCTTTGAAAGCCCAGAAAGGTGCTGTTTGGTCTCACCGTGCGCGTCCTGTACATGTCTACATCTCATGGTCATACCTAGCAGAAAGCAACTCTGTTGGGCACCTGTGTAGCTCAGTCCATCAAGCGTCCAACACTTGGTTTCAGCTCAGGTCATGATCTCAGGGGTGTAGGATTGAGGCCCCATGTTGGGCTCCAGGCTCAGCACAGAGTCTGCTGGAGATTCTCTCTCTCTCCCTCTGCACACTTTCTCTCTCTCAAATAAATAAAAATTTTTTAAAAAAGTAACTGTAAGTAGGACTTTCAGAAAAGCTATTATGAAATGTTACTAGGCTTTAAGTCACTTGTCAAGTTGTGACTCTGAGCCCCAGCAGACTTTTTGTTAGTCCATATGTTACTCAAAATGAGAAAGCACTGCTTTATTCCACAGCATTATTTTTACTCCTTATTAGCTAGGATCCACTAATTAAATGTTTTCTCCATCTCTTTTTTAAGAAAATACAGACTTGGTGAGGTGTTTTTCCCTAAAGTAACATTTGGGAATACGCTGGGCCACACACACATTCAACGCAATCACCTCCATTTCCTGTCTTTACATCTTCAGATATCAAAAAACAACAGGTGTACAAAAGAACAGTGGATCCTGTAAGATTTCCAAAGATTCAAATGTGCTCCTTTCTAGGGCTGGGAATGGGCTGATCCATAATGGGCTTTTTCCATCATCGAAAATTCTGTTTGTAGAAGGTAGGTACTGGATGACCAGAAGAAAACTGCTCCATGCCTAGAGTGGACTAGAAGCAGAGGGTAACCAGACGGGATCAGAAACAAAAGCACTGAGAATCTCCTGCCCCAGCTGTGACCTTGGGCAAAGTGCATGTGTCTGAGCTTCAATTTCATCGATATAATGGGGATGATGGTGCTCACGTCATAGGACTGGTTCAGATGAGTTACTGTCTGATAAAATGCTTTGTCAATACCAAAGCACCACACAGATGAGAAACCCCACTAACCAGGCTGCTTCACCAGAGGAGTCTACTTGCTCAACCACCTGCTTGTCTACACACCTGTCTTCACACTGCCCTCTCACTCTTGATGATGTCCTGGCTCACGATGGCTTCTGCTTTGTCCTCAGCATTCGTCCACATTCCCCCTTTCCATGACACTGGATACATTTCCTGGCATTCCAGGGACTGTGAAGAAATCACCCTTCTTCCTCCCACCCAGGGATTGAGGAATGAGCCATACATCACACACCAACAACTTCCTATAGAACAGACTTGAAGTTAGTTTAAAAATTGATTACAGGGCAGTGGGGCCGGTGGGGAGGGATTAATAGGGGAATCACAGAATTTTTGAGCAGTGAAACTATTGTGTGATACTAATGGCATGGTGAATATATGCCACTCTACATTTGTACAATCCCATAGAATGTACTAGTGTGAACCCTTATATAAACTATGGACTTTGGGAGATTATGTGTCAGCGTAGGCTTTAAGTCATCACTTTAACAATGTACCCTGTGTGTGTGGGGGAAGGTATTGATAGGGGGAGGTTATGTAGGTACATAGACATGGTATTTGAGAAATTTCTGTACCTTCTAGACCTTTTTTTTTTTTAATGTTTATTTATTTATGATAGTCACAGAGAGAGAGAGAGAGAGGCAGAGACACAGGCAGAGGGAGAAGCAGGCTCCATGCACCGGGAGCCCGACGTGGGATTCGATCCGGGGTCTCCAGGATCGCCCCCTGGGCCAAAGGCAGGCGCCAAACCGCTGCGCCACCCAGGGATCCCTTTTTTTTTTTTTTTTTAAGATTTATTTCAGAAAGACAGAAGGTGGGAAGGATGGAAGAGGAGAGAGTGAGAGAGAATCTCGAGTAGACTCCTTGTTGAGCATGGAGCCCAACACAGGGCTTGATCTCACAACCCCGAGATCATGACCTGAGCAGAAATCATGAGTAAGATGCTTAACCAACTGAGCCACTCAGGCATCCCAGAAATCTCTGTACCTTCTGATCAAGTTTGCTGTGAAGCTAAAACTGTTGTAAAAAATAAAATCCATTTAAAAATTGATTTTACAGACACACATACAGACGCACACACTTGCTACTGAGATGTGCTCTGACAAATATGAAAATTTAAGAAACCTAACTATTTAACATCAACGCTAACATCAAATGTTTATTTAAAAAAATAATGGCACCTGCTTTGAATAGGATGACAATCTACAGAGAATTTACAATTTTAGGCTGACGTGGAACTACATAGTATCTCACAAAAACAAATTCTGCAAAAACACCTCACAATAAACATTTCTAGTTTCCATTTTCAGAACTGCTAACTACTGCCTAAACATATCTTAAACACAGAGCACGTTTTGTTGAAATATTTCTCTTAGGACAAACACAGGGGACATGTTTTAAATAAATTAAAACTGCAACACACAAATTATTCCTAAAACAATCAAGGTACATTCCTTTCCAGCTTCTTATAAACAGATAATTGCACTGACTTTAGAAAATTATAGGTTAGTTTTGCTTTGTATCTTCTGGGTTAACAAACTTTGCATTTACTGTATCTTTTGGCTTCTTAACTACCTTTGATGTAAATATGCCAATATCATTCTTTTCAGTGACTTATCTTTTTAGACCAACTCCTTCCTTAGCACATGGGCTAAACTTTTTGAAACACTTCTCTCCAGATAAAGCTCTGAATTTTAAATAATGCCATTTTGCTCTACCTCTGGCTCACTCCTCACAATTATAGAAATACGCAAAATAGGTCTAATCACACATGTTCATCTTAATAAGCATAGTGAAATGCTTTTCCAAACCAATACAACTATACTTAGATTCAACAAAAAGATGTTCCTGTTTGATGCAAAACCATTTGGTATTTAAACTCCAATCCCAAAGGATAAAAATAATTAGGTGGCCTGAGGGAATCCAATTCCCATCACTGTTATTGATCCCATAATTAAACCTAATATGCTGGAGAAATGGCAGGGCAATAAACATACCTAGCAGGGCGACATTTCAATGAAAACAAGAGTGACAAAGCAGAATGATGCTGACGGAAAGGGATAACTGCCTTATGGGAGAAGGGGCAGGGATTTTCAGAAGATCTCAGTCTTTCTGTAGTTCATGGTGATCACAGAAGCAAAGCCACTAATGGCACATGCTAGAAACTTGGGACTGATCCTACTCTCTGTACAAAATCAGCAATGGAGTACTTTTATTTACTGCTTCATTGTGGTTGGAATTTTGGGGGGAGGGGAGGATGTTTTGTTCGGGCTTGATCATACTCAAAACATAAGCTGGAATAACCAGTTCAAAACCCACAGGAGAGTATTTTTAGGTTCTTGTTTTGTCCTCAGCAAACTATCATAATCATGGTGATCATGAAAATAGTATGTCACCACAAAATCCTGTGATAAAATGCAATGTCCGATACCTTTAATCATCACTAAATTCGCTAAGTGAGCAGGGCCTGCCCACCCCACGACTGATTTTATCTTTAGGTTTAGGTACGTACGAGATGTTTACGACCCATGAAAAGGTGGGGGGAAAAAGGATTAGTTGACGTAAGCATAGATAGCCAATTCCAGGAAATGTCCTAGCTGGATTACAAGTTTTAATTGAATAATTTGTAAAATTTTATTGAGTCCCCTTACACAGGAAAGAAAACATACAATGGCAGGATTTATTCCTTAAGAAGAGAACAATAAACTCTGCAGAGAATAAAGGTCTCCTTGGAGTAGATCAGCTTATTAAAAAGATTCATAAACTTTCAACAAGACTCTAAAATAAATAAGCCACGTAGGTTTGGCCTACCCAAGTGAAAATAAGGTTATCTGATATCTAATGAGAATCACCGGAAATATAAATTCTGTGCAAAGAAGTCATGATCAGGTGGGGTGATTTAGACCCTAGGTTATTTCACAACAGAGCCAGTTTCTAGCAGTTTCTGTTAACAGCTCCAGACTGGAGAGGGCGGAGTGCGCTGCTTTCCATTTTTCCCACTTCTCTCCGTAGGGAGGAGACACACTGACCTGCATGTCTGGGAAGTGTCAAAGCCAATGCTGAGTGGAGCACAGTGGCCTGTGGGGCAGGTCCACGTCCTGGGTCCTCCCGCAGCCTTAATCTCAAGGGCTGGCCATGTCACTCACTCTCTCTAAACTAATGGCAGCATCTTTGTCCACTGCAATCCCCGGCACATCCAAAGGGCCTCAGAAAGATTCACAGAACCCAAGAGGCACCCACCAGGACCCAGCTTGATCCAAGGGCGTACGTTACATCCGGCCCTCAGCAAAAAGGAGACTGACAAAGGGGAATGCTGGCCATTAAAATACAGAAGCAAAAGCAAGCACACCATTCTTTCTCCATTTCTTCCCTGGATCTGGAGCTCTTTTTCTGTCCCCTGGATTTGATGGGTCACAGTGTATTTACCGCCAACTTGGCAGAACAAGGTAGAGTCTGACAGTGCAAGAGGACACAGCCATGGGATGGGGGCGGGGGGGGGGGGCTGGTAGCTCCCTCTTCCCTGAATCCAAAATACAAACAGCCAGAGATGTCGCGAAATGATGGTGACTGCTTTAAAAAGCTCGAGTCCAGAATTAGATAGTGGGGATAGTCGCCTAAGTTTGTGAATTTAGTAAAACCACGGAACTCAGCGTACGGTTAAAAAAAGAAGAAGCTTGAGTCTGAGTCTCACACACACTGGACTTGTACCAAATGCTCGACTATTCCATTCTCTCAAACCATGGCACACTGTCACATTTTTTCAGGAGATTTCCCTAAGAGCAGCTGTTCGCAAAATATTGCACTTAATTTAAATCCAGGCGATTCGATGTTTTCTGGAAGAAAATGTACACTAACATACATCTTTACGCCTTCAGATAACAGAGTGGATGGTGGAAGGAGGGACTGAACAGCAGATTCCATTAAAATCTTCTATCTTCGTCTTCGTTAGGTACAGAGAGAAAAAGATTTCAAGAGAAGTAGCATCTGGGCTGAAATTAGTGAGGAGCCTCGCTCGCCCACACAGATGAGAGACGTGAACTCTTGCGTGCTTTCGCCTCCGGGGGAGAGCATGGCCACTCCATTACTGAGGCCCGTCAGGGAGACCCTGAAAGACAACCGACAACTGTGGTGCGGACACGGGATCTAATTGATTTGATCCTGGCTGGTCTTACAGGTCCTCTGAGGACCTTCTCAGTCTTAACCCAGGTGAACTGCTCCCACTGATTCGACTGCCACACCATCAGACCACACGTTCTGTCTTCCTCCTGCGCGCTCCTACCTCAGGGCACTTTCACTTTATAAAGTACAATTCTATTGTCCTTCTTGAAGAAGAAGAAGAAACCCAAGACGTGAGCATCATTTTTTCACTTGTGCAGTAAGCTTTATAACCCTCCCAAGGCCAGTGAATAAAGCAGAATCACATCCTTACAGGGGGTTTATCACAATTAAGATTTGCTGAAATGCAAACCTCCAGAGTAGTGCTTACGGGACCCTACAGTAATGTTTAGGCCACAGTTTGGGGTGGGATTTGGAAGCACTTCTACATGCTTGTAGGAAAGCTATTCCATAGCCCCTTAGAACAAAATTAGGTGTGCAGTTCCCTGGGTGCAAGAAGGCAAAAGCCCTACCCCTAAATCTTCGTGTCTTACCCTTTATTTTTATTTATTTATTTATTTTTTTTACGTGTCTTACCCTTTAAAGTGCAAGAGAACATCTAAGCTCGACTTCCGAAGGATAAACGGGTGTGTTGTGAGATGTCTATGTTATGACGGGCCACGTGCACCTGACCACTTGGAATGCAGGAGACCTCGTGTCGCCTGTGCCCAAGCAGAATGGATTACACAGGATGTGCTGTGCTTCTGAAGGCCACAAGCACTCCCATGGCCAACGCCCGTACTCCTTCCCTCCCGCAAGTCCTGCCATAGCCTTGCTGCTTACAGGACTCAGGGAAAATGCAACCATGAGCAACTGTGAAGCTCAATTTTGATAGAGACTTAGGGGAGAGAGACAGAGGCTTCAAACTCTTTTTCTCATGGGTCACACTGATTATGCCAAATGCTCGGTAAACAGAGGTTTACCATGCTGGGCTAGTCAGGTGGGCAGGAAATCTGGTCTGATTAAGGCAGTGAGCAACGCGGGGAAGGCTCTGCAATGGATTCATGTCCACCAAGTACAGGGGCTGAGTGGCAGTTGCTACTGCGTGAAGAGAATGGGAGTTATTTACAAGGCACAGCCTGGGCCTGGTGATCTCTAGTCAGCATAACTGTTCATTTTAAAATTTGGTAGTATGCACAGAGTTTTCTTTAAAACAGAAACGTGAAAGCACTTGGAGACAGGGACCAGTGGCTTCATCTGGGTATTATGATCCTTTCTATGGCACATAGAATATGGTCCCAGTTTTTGCAAAATATTGCAAGGAGCGTCACGGCAAAGAAGGTGCCAAGGATGTGGAAACGGCTCTTCATCATGGGCGAGACGAACTTGGCGATGGTAGACACACACACAAGGATGACGGTCATGAAGGCCAGGATCACGTTTATGCACTTCCCCAGGAGAACTTTGGCGTTCACGGTGTCCGTCTGCAGAGCTTGCTGCTCTTGCTGGTGGAGCTCCAGCTTAGAAATGCGCGTCTGGCAGGATTCCAAGGCTTCCTGTGGGCAAGAGGGAGAGCGAGGGTCAAACGCTGTTGAGATCATGGGCAACGTGTGAGCACGTGCTTAGACATGCACGAATGAAAGCCCCCCAGCTCAGGATGCTCCATGCCAAGGCAGCTTCAAACAGCCAAGCTGACGATGACAACGATGATAATGACGACGACAAAGAAGTAATACGAGAACCCCGAGGCTCACTTATTGTTATTCCTGACCACATGAGCATGTGTATGCAGCCATAAAATACTGTACATGGGGGCTCACAGGTGAGTATTTTGAGTCTATTTGTATTTGAAATAAAGGACATAAAACACAGGCATGTGCTGCTATCATCAGGGACAAACGAGAGGAGCGGTGGGGTTCCACTTTGGAGGTGACGGCCTCCAGACACAGAGTAGGTGGTATCTCCAACCGCAGTCCTTCCGTCCACTGCTCAGACTCCGGGCAGCCATCCACGGGCTCTGGAGGAGGAAGGAGAAGGGACGGGGACAGGACTGATGGGGCACCTCGGCTTTCACCTGCTCTTTGAATGCTGTTACTCAGAACAACGTCCAAGGCGACACATTCCTACACATTGTCCATACTTCTTGTTCTTTCTAAGACTTCAATTACTAAGTCACAGCTGACTCCAAGTATTTCTCTGGCCCAGTCATCTCTTGCAAGATTGACTCACGTATCTACGATGCCTCCCTGCTATCTCCATTTGAGCTTCCTTTTAAAAAAAAAAAAAATTTTTTTTTTAATTTATTTACTTGAGAGAGAAAGAGAGAGCAGGAGTAGGGGAGAGGAGGAGCAGAGGGAGAGGGAGAAGCAGACTCCCGCAGAACAGGGCTCTATCCCAGGACCCTGAGATCATGACCTGAGCCAAAGGCAGATGCTTAACGAACTGGGCCACCCGGGCACCCCTCCTCATTTGAGCCTCTTAAAAGCACCTCAACTGCAACATGTCCAAATGTGGCTTCATGTACTGCACCTTCTCCTGTACCTGCCATCAGCACTGCTTCCTTTCTGCTGTTCCTCTCCTCAGCACAGCACCCCGTCCACCCAGTTCCTCCTATCAGACACTCCTCGCCTCTCCCGTCACCAGCCCCGTCGATGCAACCACCAGTGTCTATCTCTGGGGGTCCGTTTCTTTCCCCTCTGTCCTCCCCCCACTGTCTCCTGCCTCACATGATGCCAGTCCCTGCCCGGCTCAGCACGCTTCAGCCATATAGGCTTTTTAAAGTTCGGAAAAGCAGCCTGTTTGGGGCCTCTGTACTGTGTCTGAAATGTCTGCCTCCCCACTCCCCCCTTCACCGGTGACTCTCCCTCCCCCTTCAGGTCCCATCTCCTCCACTGTTATGTCCAGGGGCAGCCCTCCCAGCCCCGTCAGAGGAGGTGAAGTCTCCTCCACCTTTCCAACCCAAGCGACAGTCCAGAGCTGTGGGAGGATGGGGACCGGGCCATCCTGCTGTCTCCCCAGCACAGGGCAGCCACAAGCCGGGCGCAGACCTCAAACCAGGGACAGGGGTGAGGCTCGGGAGAGAAGGACCCTGTGTGTTCTGGGAGGAAAGGACTAACCAGAGGTGGCACGATGAGCCTCTCTGAGCTCACTAGCCTGCCGTCTGACTCCCCTGCCAGTACGGGTTCGCTCAGCTCCAACACAGCCATCTTCTCAGGTTCTAACCCACCATCACAGCTGGGACACTGATTCGCTTTTCTTCTGCTGAATATACTATCTGTGCCCAAGATCGGGGTCTCTGTCACTTACAGTGGCTTCCATTACATGAGTCACCAACAGGGGAGGTACAACTTCCTCAGATCTTCATGTTCTAGGCCGTGTTGGCTTTCTATGACGGCAGGCACGCACCCCAGAAACCGTGCATTCTTTTCAAATGCTTGAGCCCACCATTTCTCCCCGTTTCAGACACGTCATGGAAAAGGTGACAGAACAAGACAAGAGAACAGCATTTTGGCAAATTCATTCATCTTTAATTGGGTACATGAATTATATATATAAACAGAGTGATCCGAGGAGTGAATTGCCTTAGAACTATTGCATTTTTTAATCCCCACCCCCCCCCTCAAAAAATCCAAGAAAATGAAGGAGTGAATTGCAAGGAATTTTCGTTGTAGCACCTGCTAAGAGACATTCGGCCCCACGATCTTTATTTAGTATCTGCTCGAATCCAGTGTTTAACTTACAGGGGATAAGGACAGAGGACAGACTGAATTATCTGTAAGCCTTTTTAAAATTAGGAATTCAAGGTTGATAGAAAAAAAATCTCAACTTTGTAAAACCGTGGCATCTCTGTGAGCAACAGCCACCCTCACCACCTGTACCAGCCTGTGCCCCGTGGAGCCCAGCCTGCATGAACAAAACAAGAACTGAGGATGAAGATGAAGCCGAGCAGGCCCGATCGCTAAAAGCCCCGAGGAACACAGTCACTCACCAATATGATAAAATAAACAGCCAGCCTTGATTTCCTGACTGCCTGTTATGCGTCAGGCAAAGATTTGAGGTACTCTGTATTATCCCACCTAATTCTCCTGACGACCTTTTGAGGTGAAGCTCACTGATATTTCCATTTTATAGATGGGGAAACTGAGGCACAGGGAGCTAGCTCGTCCAGGGTCACACAGTGAGCGGCAGAGCCAGGATTCTCACTATCTTAACAAAGACAACTCTCCAATCACTCACACGGATGTCCTCTTTCTGCTTCTGAGTTAGAGACAAAACCCGAAAGATGTTCAAGTGAACTCTTCTAAACTGCGAAGCTGCCTCTGGTAAAGTCCCTCCCTTTATCTTACCTGTTAGCCCTAAAGTAGGTTTCCTTGACAAAGGAAGAACAATATTAACCCAAACTCTCACCTAAAGAAGAAAACCATATATTTAGACATAATCCAGTGGCATCCTGGACATGTTCTAAAAACAGAATATTCTAATAAAACTGACGGCGCCGTTTTCACCTTGCAACACTTAACATTTAAGTGGGTCAAATCCTAAACCAGTCAGCGGTGAAGGTGAGTCTCCTAAACCAGAGCAGGGATGCAAGTCCCTCAAGGGTCACCCATGCCCCAGACCTCACAGGCAAGTGTTTCCTACCAGCTCTGACGCTCTGGCTCCCAGAACTGTCCACGTAGATGCCTTGGACTGGCACACACTCCCAGCCCACGACACCGAGCAGAACAGAACGTGGGCAGCTGAAACTCCAGTTCACACATTGTGGAGAAAAAAAAATCTCCCTTCATGTTTCAGTTTTCTCCCTCATAAAGTGGGGCTGGAGAAAATAACCACTGCCTACAAAGAAACGTTGTAAAAATAAAACTGAGCACTACTTGAAAAGTCTACATTTTTGTTTTAAAAAAGAAGATCAATGGCAATGTAAACTGCAGCGGTCACTATGGAAAACATATGGAAGTTCTTTAAAAAATTAAAAATAGTGGGAGGCCCATGTGGCTCAGTGGTTGAGCATCTGCCTTTGGCTCAGGGCATGATCCTGGGGGTCCTGGACTTGAGTTCCGCATCAGGCTCCCTGTGTGGAGTCTGCTCCCCTGCCCCCTATGTCTCTGGTTCTGTCTCTGTCTCTCTCATGAATAAATAAATAAATACACAGTCTTAAAAAAATTAAAAATAGAACTACTATACAAATTCAGCAATTCCACTTCTGAGTATAAATCGAAAGGAAATGAAATCAGTTTCTAGAAAAGATATCCCCACCCCCATGTTCACTGCAGCATTATTTACAATAGCCAAGACATGGAAACAACCCAAGGGTCCATCAACAGATGAATAAAGAAAATGAGATATACATATACACAATGGATTATTATGTGGTCACGAGAATGAAGGCAATCCTGTTATCTGCAACAACATGGATAGACTGTGAGGACATGATGCTAAGTGCAATGAGTCAAGCAGAGGAAGACAAATATGCTCTTTGATCTCACTTATATGCAGAATATAAAAAAAACAACAAACAAACCAAACTCACAGAAACAAAGAACAGACTGGTGGTTGCCAGAAGCACAGAGTAAGGATTAGGGAAATGGGTGACAGTGGTCAAAATGTACAAACTTCTAGTTATAAGAGAAAAAACTCCTGAGGATGTAATGTGCAGCTTGGCAACTATAGTTAACAATTTTGTATTACATATTTGACAGCTGCCAGGAGAGTAGGTCTTTTTTTTTTTTTTAAACTTATGCATTCATGAGAGACAGAGAGAGAGAGATAGGCAGAGACATAGGCATAGGGAGAAGCAGGCTCCCTGTGGGGAGCCCGATGCAGGTCTTGATCCCAGGACTCTGGGATCACGACCTGAGCCCAAGGCAGATGCTCAACCACTGAGCCACCTAGGTGTCTTGAGAGTAGGTTTTAAAAGTACTTTTTTGTAACAAGAAAAAAATGTATTAACTAGGTGAGGTGATAGATGTTATTAATTAAACTTACCGTGGTGATCATTGTGCAATATATCAAATCATTACGTTGTACCCTTTAATGTGAGGTTATACATCAATTATATCTCAGTAAAACTGTGAGAAAAGAAAAGAAAGAGACCCTATGGTAGCAGGAAAAAAAAGCGCTCAAGAAGCCCAGGGCTGTCCCACTACAATGCTCCCAGCACATTCACACTGAAACATGCCTTTGCTAACAGTGACTCAGCAAACCCTTCCTTACATCCATCCAGAACCTACTCATCCCTCAGGTCCCACCCTCTCTGGACGTTCATTCATGTTCGTTACTCAAGGACTGTTTGCGAGAGAGACCAGGTCCAAGGCACTTAACCTCCCTGCCTTTGTCTCCACATCTGAGAAAGGGGGAAAATAGTAGGAACTGCTTTAGAGGGTTGCTGCAAGGAGTCGATGGGGAGGAAAAAGAGCCTTGTAAAGTGCTTTGCTAGCGAATGGCACATGGTATGCACTCAAGTCCTTGAAATTCTTCCAGGTATCGAAGCTATTATTCTACAGACAAGCAAACCGATTCAAGGCTCAGGGTTACACCACTGGTAAGGGTTCACTGAAACTGAAATCCAATGTTTGACCATGAAATGACCAACTGCCCCAGCCAGTTCTGAGCTTGTTGGGCACTGTGCCTGAATCCTGTGGCTTTCACTGTCTGCCATGTAATTTGGCCCCTGCTCGTGTTTTCTTGAGTGGTTTGGAAGTTGACTTGATCCTGATTCCCCACTCACCCCGTGAGCTTCTTGAAGGCAAGGTTTGCCTCGGTTTAAAAATTTTTAGCGATTCTGGTGATGGGAGCGGGGGAGGAAAAGAGGTTATAGGTGATGGGCCTGGGTAGATAATAAATATTTGTTAACAAAAAAAAAAAAGTTTTGAGGCTACAGAGAATAGCCTCTGTAGTCAGTGAAATCTATAACACGGGCTAATGGGGTTAATGAGGTGGACAATGTTTGTGCAGAGAAAACATCTTGCTCCACGTGCCAGAAATCCTTTAGGGCTTGCAGGTCATGTGTTTACAGTTTGGTAAATGAAGTAAAGGCTGGGAAGAGCCCGAGTGAGTGGCTGATGATGAGAGGGGCAGTACCTGGATGTCCCGTGAGCGCTCATAGGCCTGGTAGGCCACCTTCTCCTCGATGCTGGCCAGCTCCTGTTTCAGGTTGGCGGTCTCGTGCTGGTGCAGGTCTGTCAGGTCATGCAGCTGGTCTTCCAGCCGCTCGTACCTTTGCAAAGAGAGGACTGATTCTGAGAGTGACACTTCAAAGGTCTCCTTGTTCTCATTCCCTGGAAGACTAGGTTTCCAAAAGAGTACATCTAGCTGCAGGGAACATGCTTTTGGGTAACACTGGTTTCTACCATCTGAACTTCTCTGTCCTCACTCCTGAGGTCCCACGCACACCAGATTTGGCTTATCCCCCTACATGGGACAGCAGCTTCAGCGGCTGTGGTGATGACACAACAGGACACACCTGACGCATTCAGCAGGGCTGGTCAAGAGACAGGGCTGTCTGGGATCCCACTTAAGACCAAGAGTTGCTGGCACCCCAGTGCGGCCCCCCTCTCCTGCCTGCACAGTGTCTTCTGGTCCACCGGTACAGCTCTCACACGCCAGAGAGCCCATGAGGAAAGAGCCAACTTCTACACTACCACCAGTTCCACCATTTCCCAAAGCATCCTCTAGTTCTGAAAACATGCTTCAGCTCTTGAAACTTAAATGTTGATAAAAAAATTAAAGCTCATTACAAATTATAAATGGCTTATTGGGTGGCATTTCCAAAAGTACAAATCTTAAGTAACATAAGAACAAAGATTCCTGTTCCTATCTCCCATTTCCCTCAAAGAAGAGGGATTTGTCTTATATTCAAAAACTAATAATGTTTATTTGAAATCAGGAAGCATTTGGGGAGAATGCATTAATCTGAAATGACTTCTATTAATGTCAGTGTTAGATGCTTAAATAGGTCACCGGATAGGATCATTACAAAGAGAGAGAAAAAGAGGGAGGGAGGGATGGAGATTGAGACATTATATGTCAATTATACCTCAAGAAAAAAAAATGAGACCAAAAAAAAAAATTAATGCAGATTTAAGAATTCTTCTCAGATATGACTTCATAGGTATCCAAATTTTGGTGTAAAAGCCTTTTAAAAGATCTCTTATTGCAAGCAAAACAGTCAGTGGCTAACTCTTGAAGATCACAAATGTAACTATATGACAAATGAGAACAAAAACTGTCCTACATTTATGTAAATGAGTATTTGTGACTTGAGATAAAATCTGGATCCAAAGAGTACTGTATCCCAAACTATTCAGAAGGAATTAAAGTCAGTGTTCACTGGAAAACCTGTGACCCCAAAATAGTTGTGTGATAAAGAAACTAAAGTCAAAGATGTATGCTGAAAGTTTAAAAAAGTTGTTTCATTAAATATAAGAGCTAAAAAAAAGGCCATATTTCTAAATTAATACATTTAAAACCATGTAGGAGATTAAAATATGTAAGCAAAATTTAAAGTTTAATCTTACAATATGTAATGGGTATTGAATTTTTTAATCTACAGTTTTATAAGTCAAGATATTAACTTTGACCAAAAAAAAAACAAAAACAAAAAAAAAAAACATCTTTTGGGGGGCACCTGATTGGCTTGGTCAGTGGAGTGTGAGACTCTTGATCTCAGAGTGTGGGTTCAAGGCCCATGTTGGTATAGAGATTACTTAAAAAAGAAATAAAATCTTTAAAAAAACCTAAAACTCTGGAGAATCTTTTTACTGGGAAAATGGTGGGAAGTCACTTTTGATTAATATTTTTATTAATAAGTTATAAGTACATGAAAGCATACAAAACACCTTTTAAAATTAGCTAACAGGGCATGTGGGTGACTCATGCCACCAGTGGTTGGGCGTCTGCCTTTGGCTCAGGTCATGATCCCAGAGTCCTGGGATCGAGTCCCACTTTGGGCTTCCCGTGGGGAGCCTGCTTCTCCCTCTGCCTATGTCTCTGCCTCTTAAGAATAAATAAATACAATCTTAAGAAAATAAAATAAAATTAGCTAACTTAGGAATGGCCTAGGTAGCTCAGTCGATTAAGTGTCTACCTTTGGCTCAGGTCACGATCTCAGGGTTCAGGATAGAGCCCTGCATTAGGCTCCCTGCTCAGTGGGGAGCCTGCTTCTCCCTTTGCCCCTCCCCTACTTGGGTTCTCTCCTTCTCTCTCTCAAATAAATAAAGTAAAAAGTTAGCTAAAAAAATTTCACAAGATTTGAATTTATACTTTACTCTTAAGATTTCTTTTGAAAACTGCTAAGGTGAAAAGTTTAATGGGCAAGATACAGTATATATAAAAAACTGTATATTATGTAAAGACTTTCAGATTGAAGTATCAAAGAAAATCTACCTTGTTGAACAATGCAGTAATTTTTTTTTACTTGACATAGCTATGGAAGAAAAGAAAATAGATGAAAAGATTGGTGAATTAGTGTAATGAAACTTTGTAACAGGAGTCTACTGAATCAGGAACTTAGTCTGCACAAGTCCTAGACTATATAGGGATATGTTAAAAGACACAACTTTCTCTAAAGTGTCAAATTGTAAGTCACAAATTATAAAATGTAGAACTATGAAGTATGGGAAAAAACTGTCGATTCTTAACTTTTTTCATCCATATCCACATTTATGGAAAATATAACCATCAGCATACCACTTTCAAGAAGGCAATCTCTCTGCAGTAAGTCATGCCTCTAAAAGAATTCAAGAGAATAATCTGAAATACCTGTATCTTTCCTCTTGCAGGGTCTGTGAAATGAAACCGTATTCTCTCTTAAATTGCACTTTGAGCGCTTCGATGTCCTCGGCCAGCTGTGCCTGGGTGTCCTTGATCTCTCTCAGCTCCTCCAGGATCATGGTGAGCTTGCCCTGGCTGTCCAGCGTGCCGGCTCCACTGGCTCCAAAGGACTGGTTCCCGTTACTGTCAGCAGAGCCTGATGTGCCACTCGAGCACTCGTCATCGCTGCCGTACTTGGGTTTGTTCACAATGGTCGCGCTGCCCCCGTAGGCCCGGGGACTCCCCTCGGGCCTGAACTCCTCTAAGGAATTTTTCAAGTGTGCGATGTTATCGGCGCTGCCAAACTTATTCCGGATCAGGTTGGCGAACTCTCTGGACTTACTGAAGACAAACACAGGCGGAGTGAGGGACACTCCGGGCATGCTTGATTTACTGCACTCCGTGCTGTGTGGGGCAGTTCGGGACTTGGCATGGGCATCTTTCAGGGAGTGCTGCAGATCCTTCAGGTTGTCTTTGGAAATGTCCTTCGAGTTTCTGGAGGCTCCATTCTGTTCGATCTCTCTGAGCTTTCTATGATACTGTTCTAACTTCTTCTGTAGCTGGGCAATGGAGTGAGCAGACTTCTGATTCTTCTTCTCAAAGACTTGTTTGATACGGCCAGCCTGCTGCTTGTCTGCGCTGCTGACGAGTTTAAGATACTCTGCAACATTCCCATCGCGGGATGTCTGCTCAATTTTTATCTGCTCTGTCACCTTCAGAATTTTTTGTTTCAGGCTGTCTGCACTGAGTTTGACCTTGTGGAAGTCCAGGATGCCATCTGGTACATCGAAGTTGAGGTTGGTGTCAGACCCACCTCGGCGAATGTTCAGGGGCAGGCTTAGGGTATTCATGTCATGACGTTCTACCTGAAGGACGAAGGCAAGAAGCACTTTAAGATTTGAAGTCAAAGGCGTAGTTTTTGTGATAGACTCTTTGCGTACACTACAGACATACTTTAGGTCCCAGATTTTTAAGCTGTAGGTATTTAGGGCCACCTGGATGGCTCTGATGGTTGAACGTTCAACTCTAGGTCTCAGTTCAGGTCATGATCTCAGGGTCCTGAGATCAAGCCCCATGTCAGGCTCCACAATCAGCAGGGAGTCTGCTTCAGTTTCCCTCTCCCTCTCCCCACTCCACATACTCGGTCTCCCTCTCAAATAAATAAATCTTTAAACTGCAAGTATTCATAAGATAAAAACTCCCTACTACCCTCTCCCACTGAATAGAGAAGACAGTCCAACTCTTTTTTGCATCCATGTTTACTAACTGTGAGATTCCATTCTCCCAGGGTGTCCAATGTTTCGTCTGATTACATGATAACTGCCAGTTGCCAGGGTAGAAAATGAATGCATAATGGCATGAGGTTACCAATGAGTCCTCATTTCCCAAAACACCCAGGTAACTGGGGTGCTTCCCACACCCCATCCCCTGTGAAGTGCAGCCCTGTGGGAAATGTGTCCAATTCAGAACCCAATCATGTAACAAAAAGAAAGAGAAAAAAGTTCCGGCAGGTATATTCATTAACACAAGAAATAATTTTCCTAATGAAATCATTAAACATTAATTTTACTGAGTAATATAACTGTACTGAGATGTGGAAATGAGCAACACCAAATCATGACCCAAGGGATTAAAAAATAAGAACAAGTGGTAATACCCAGAGAAATGGCTTTCTCACTCAAGGGCCACCTGGGGAAGAAGTGCAAAGTATCACTGAGCACCGCAGTGAGGAGGATAACTAGTTTGCGCTCTAAAAGGGAAAGGTGGGGTGCCTGGGTGGCCCAGCTGGTCAAGTGTCAGCCTTTGGCTCAGGTCATGATCCTGGGGTCCACATTGGGCTCCCTGCTCAGTGGGGCGCCTACTTCTCCCTCTGCCTGCTGTTTTCCCTGCTCATGCTCTCATTCTGTCAAATAAATAAAATCTTTAAAAAATTAATAAAATAAAGAAAGACAAAGGTAAATCTGGGTGCCAGGTACTGTGGATGTTTGAATGCGTCGTCCTGTTTGATCTTCATTACCACACCAGGTAAAGACTACATTAAATCTATATGCATACAAACTGAGACAACAAGATGTAGGATTTGAACCCAAGTCACCCTAACTGGGTTCTCCTTCTACATCAGGACACCCTACCAAGGTGTCCCCAAAGGACTAAAGACAAGCCCTTTTGTAGGGCCTGAACACAATTTCTAAACAAAGATTTGTAACATCTAAAAAGCATCTTTTTTTGCCCAGTTAACCCTATTAGAATAATGTCTTGACACAGAGTCTCAACGGAAACCAAAGAGAAGACCATATGTGGCATAAGTTATCCTGTGTTTTAGGGGGAAGAAACAGCAAAAATGTTTTTAAACGAGTATAACTTTTTAAAGATTTTATTTATTTATTTATTTGTCAGAAACACGCTGAGCAGGGAGCCCGATGTGGGACTTGATCTCAGAACCCTCAGATCATGACCTGAGCCGAAGGCAGATGCTCAACCCGGGGGCCCCAGAAATAGCAAAATATTAATCAAATACCAACATGCTTCACCCTGCTCAAGTGACCTAGACTCAAGTGCATTCACTTCCAAAAATGAAGTATCAACACTTTGTCCCGCGGAAGATCCTACCCAATGCTTTTTCCCAGAGAAGGGAGCCCAATGGCATAGTGGGACACAATCCCAGGTTGGTGAGTCAGTCCTCCTACACAACAAAAGTCTGTTAACATTATTCTTGGCCCCTCTTCCAACACACAGTTTTGCTATGAATAAAAAACATTGGGTGTTTTTATTGCGTAGAAAAGCATCATGTAGGAAAGGCTGGAAGGAAATAAATGCCAAAGCACTTGTAAGACTAGAAAAAAAGGCTAAAAAAATTGTGGCATCACCTGGTCAAGATGGAAGGATGGTTGTAGGGAATTAAAGGAGGTGTATGATAATCATCTTCAAGTTCTGGAGAGACAACCACAGTGGGCTCAAGGAAACTATGCACCTGTGGCTCACTGGTGAGCCCTAACAGGAATGGGTACAAAGTACAGTAACACAGAATGCACTAAATCTAGAAAATGTTTATTTGGGGCAGACAGGGTAATCCATGGTGACCGTACGATCATGAGGCTATGAATTTGATTTCATTGGAGATATTCCCTGATCTGATTATGCTATTCTACTTCTCAGAAACTTTCTTTGGCTCCCCGCCCCCAAGCTTCTAAGATTAAATAATACAACCTGGCCACTATAAGGCCCTAGCTAACCTTTCAGGCCTCACCCTGCATCTGATGGATGCCATTCATCCTAAGTGAACCATACAACCCAAAGTTCCCAGAATGTGTGTGAATTTCCTATGGATGTTCTCATAAGAAGGATATTCACAATGCTTGCACCCATCTGTTTCTGCTTATCAAAATCCCACATATATCATGAAGCTGTTCCTAGTCCATCAGAAAGCTGCAACAAGGTGACACAAATACAAATAAAGACTTTTAAACTTTAACTGAAGTATAATTTACACACAGAAAAGAGCACACATTTAATAAGAATAAAACTCAATGAATATTCACAGACTGGACATACTGTATAACCAGGACCCAGTAAAAAAAAAAAAAAAACAGACAACAGAGGGGTGCCTGGGTGGCTTAGTCAGTTAAGACTCCAATTCCTGATTTTAGTTCAGGTTGTGATCTCAGGGTTGTGAGATTGAGCCCTGCACCAGGCTTTGCGCTGTGCATGGAGCCTGCTTATGACTCTCTCTCCCTCTGCCTCTCCCCTTTCCCCCATCAAGAAAACAAAACAAAACAAAAACAAAAACCAACTCCATAAAACAAAACTGAAGTTCCCTGTACCCCCTTCAATCATCAGTACATCACCCCCACCTCCGAGGGTAACCACAGTGACCACAAGCCTCACCTCTAACAGCATGCGTTCGTTTTGACTAGTTATCACTCTTCTTGTCTTTTTGCTCCACTTTGTGAGGCTCCTAAGACCCTGTTTTTACCCTCTGGAGTTCAAAGATCAGATGAAGTTGTTTTTTTTAAAAAAAAAAAAAAACACCCAAACCTGCTCGGTACTGAAAAGTCCACCATATCAGAAGATGCAGAGGTTTTTACCCTTTACCTTCCCAGATGCCACCATAGGTTCGTCCTCTAACCTGCAACCCACCTCAGGTGGCCACCTAGTGCTGGCGTCGCAATGCGATGACCTTGTCCCTAGAGACTCTGCACTAGGACAGCCTCGAACACTCAGAACGTGTGCACACGGAGAGCTGGCTGACTTATGGCTCACTCTAAACTTAGAACCATGCTTAAGGCAGGTCCTCAAGAGTCCAGGCTGGGGAAAGCAAGAGCATTCAAAGCTCAGGTCAATTGATCTTACTGCTCATCAGCAAATCTCAGTTACACATGTTTGATGAGGGTGAAAGGTTGAAGCTAGTGTTGGGCTGCACCTTTTTATAGCCTTTTATAACCCTCGCTCCGCAGGGTAATCAAGAGCCAATAATGTACACTTCATTACTAGATGCCCATACATCCCCTAAACTCACAGTGAAATCTCATGTGGGTGCTGGGGAGAGAGCTGGGGATGTCCTCCATTTAACGTGGAGCCCACCCTGAGGGCAACCGCATGGAGCAGCTGCTTCAGGGTGGGACCTGGGGAGGACAGAGCTCACAGATCACCTGGAGCCAACGTGTGCGCGGACCATGCGCATCAGGAGACACATGCTGTGGTTTGGGCACAGACATTAATTGGTTATGTGTTCTTAGCTGTCAAGTCACTTCTGTAGCTAATCTCTCAAGAGATCAAGCCAGACAACTCAGAGCTAACATGGCAAAATTCCATGAAATTTAATCTGAGCTATCTTTACTGTGAGACATTAGCATGAACCAGTCAAGACCCTGGGCTCTGGAAGAGTGCTTTTGGTTTCCATCTCGACGCCACTTGTATGAGCTGTGCAGCTTTGGAAAAATGACTTTGCCTCTTTGTGTCTCAGTTTCCTCGTCTGTAAAATGGAGATAATCCTTCTTCAAAGAGTTGTGAGGAATAAATGAGATAGTGCACATAAATGAAGTACTTACAGAGTTCCTGGCACAGAGAATGGTTTCAAAAAAGGTTTGCTATTGTTGTCATTCCAATTTCCTTTTTAAATATACCTCTATGTAAAAATGGAAAGGAAAACAAGCTCCAAACAATGGTTATCTTTTGCACAGTGGGGTTAAGAGAAGTCATTCTTTTTATGTTTTCGTATTTTCCAACTAAAAAAAAAAAAAACTGAACATGAATTACCATGTTTTACCATGAATTACTATTTGGCAGAATAGATGCTATTTTTAAAAATGACTGCTAGCCCCTTTCAGTACTCTTGGAATCACTTGGTTATTATTAGTTTACGTGAAAGGCAGACCACCAACATCCTAGTGAAAAGCCATTCCTAATAATGCTTTCCTTCCGGCAGCAGAACATTTCTCTTGTCACCTCAATGTTCTGGAACAAAGGCTAACAGAAAAGCCTAGCCTTGGACTAACATCAAAAACGGACACTGAGTCATCTCTGCAGCAACCCAAGCTTCCAAAACAGCGTAAGTGAGCTCACCTTGCTCACCGAGAAGCCAGGCACAGCTCCATCAATTACAGTGCTGCTTGAACACACTGTTCAGCCTTCCAAAGACGGCTCTCTCCATGACGTTTCACATTTAACCCCTGAAAGCTCCAGAGGAAAATGAACAAAAGGGAAGGACAGCCAATGCAGAGGCACATCACCCAAAACTGCACCTAAGAGAAGTGGGAAAGGGCAAGTGAAGGGCAGGGAGAGGCCAGCGTGGGTGCCTGGAGGGCATGGGCTGAGGCTCTGGGGGTCACAGAGGGGCCTGATCATGCAGACACACGCAGAGATGGGAACTAGGGAGGGATAACAGCCCAAGCCATACAATGCAGCTTTCATGTTAAGAAAAGCTCTTGATCCCTGTCACCCAACCAAAGAGTCGGTCCTTCAAACTGGCTGTCATCTCCCAGGCAACAGGTACCTCCCGGCGCACATGAGGGTGCTTTCAGAGGCCCACTAAGGAGCTGCCAAATATCCAGAGGCACTCACAAGTCCTTGTGGCCAGGTGTCCAAACCAACATAGCTGACATTCTGCCCTCTTACTCATTTTGGCTGGAATCTAACTTCAAATCCAGAGGCAGGGCTTTTCCTTGGTTTGTCAATCAGAATGTGCTAGGCTTTGCTGTGGCAATAATGCCAACATCTCAGTGGCTTTTTAAAAAAAAGGATAGAAAAGAAGAAAAGGTTCATTTCTTGCTCATGCTAACAAGACTGCTGGCAATCAGCTGAGGGACCTGAGGACTATGAGGAAGCCTCTCTGACCTGCTGTGATGTTGTTGGTGGCCGTGGCAGGTGAATCATTCCCCGGGGCTTAAAGACACCCACCAGAAGAGATGCCTGTGGCTTCCCCTGCTCGCTGCACTGGGCTTTAGTGCATTTCAAGGCAAGTACAGGACAGGGAAGTAAAATCCTACCACATGCGCGGGAGGAAAAATGCCATGTTAGGGACATGCATGTCCTCTCATTTGTTAAAAATTCTGAGATATGTTCTACTGTTATCACTATTTAACAAATGAGACAACTAGGCACAGAGAAGCTAAGTTGCCTACGGGCACACCACTAGGAAATGGCAGAGTGAGGACCGAAATCCAAGTGGTCTGTCTCCAGAGCCTGCCTCTCTAATGACTGGGTACTTTTACGATGAGTCAGGCATCGTGCTAAATAATTTTTTTAGTATTCATATGTTCTTCACACTCATTCTATTTGATGAGGAAAGTAAAGCTTATGAAAAGTATATAGGTTTCTTGAGGTCCTCCATAGATAATAAATAGCAAGACTTCGGGAGACCTAAGCTCAGCCACCAACTGTGTGAAAACCCACTCGTGTCCCTAACATGGGCACCCAGGCTGTGTGAATACTCGGGGTTGGGTTTAGACCTCTCTGTCGTCAAACTCTCCCTCCCACAGGCTAAACTCTAAATCCACATCCATGCCATTGCTTCCCCGCAGCCCTGGGGCTGCTGTGAAACCACATCCATCTCAGGTTTGATTCGGCCTGTGAATTCATTCTTCCTCATCCATGCTTTAAAATAGGCATAGCTTTTAGGCAAAGTAATTTTGAAGATTAAAAAAAAGAGCTTACCGCTTTTATCAAAACCATGTGCGAGCATTTACGATCACTGAGACAAGAAAGGCAATTAGAGAAACAAGGTAAAAATCAGAGAAGTGAGATGAGAGACCTATGGAGAAGAGGCAAGCCACGTCTAAGGGCCTAACAACTGAGGGGTTCAGTTCCGGACGCACGTGGGTGCAGAGGCCACTCAGCAGATAAGTCATGAATCTGCCTGGAGAAAAGGAAAGATCGCCCTTCCCTATGCTGGGTGTAATGGCAGGGAGCACAAGGCCGCTGCCCAGCATGGCCCTTCAAGGGATACCTTTTTTACATTCTACCAAAAAAAAAAAAAATGCGAGCTTTCTGTCACTTTGCTTCTAATAATACTATGACACAAGGGAGCCATCCTTCCTCCTGCTGCTGACATGTACCTGCAAGATATCTCACCAATCAATAAACATGGAACCCAGGAAAGCCAATGAACCACTGGACCCCAGCACCCGACACCTGGTTTTCTTGCTAACTGAGCTAACCTGCAGTGGAGAAGTAACTCTGAAGGCTTGCTAAGCATCCTTTATCATGCCATAATGAACACATTCACGTGGATACCTATACAGAATACTCAGTATTCATTAATACTTTCTTTCCTACTGCATGCTAGAAATGAAAAACGAAAGAGGGCTCCATATAGTATCCAAAAGGATATCTTATTGGTAAAGTGTCTTCATAAAATGTTTATACTAATTTATTTTTGACAAAGAACACTTCCTACTGTAGTTCAAGTCTGTCAATAGGACACCATAAACTTCTTTAAAGTGTTAATGTGTTAATAAAACCTTTCCAGGAAAAGGACTGAACCTCTTTTAAAGTTCATGGTGTCCAGATCAGGAACTGAGTCACTAGTTTTACCATAAAGGTTTTATGTCATGTCCCCCACCCCCCGCCCTTCCTCTCTCAGCATCACTGACAAAAGAAATTCGACAGCATCAGAAATTCTAGTTCTTGATTGCACGTGAAATTCAGCTCATTATTCTGGGATTAAGGATGGTTGAGAACAGGGGCTGGAATACACCTTCCTGTGCTGGGCCAACCCTTTATCCAGATAGTGCAAATTGATGGAAGAAAGGAGATTAGACAAAGTGTTTAAGGTTCTCAAAAACAAATTCTTCAAGCATCTTCAAGCACTTACAAACACTTGATACTGTAATTAGAAATAATTATCTTTTCATTAAGCCTCTACCAGGCAGCAGTAACCTACTTTGAGTTATGTGCACCAGAAAATTTAGATGGTCTTCAAAATAGCTTATAACTCACACTTTTGATTAACACAAACTAATCCCTTACAAAATTAGTCTGACCTGGTAAAGATTTCCTGGATGCTGTATAACCTATAGACAAATGAAATGAAAGGGGGGGTGGGGGAGACCAGATAGGGAAGGCCAGGGTAATGCAAATCGAGCAACCAACGCTGAGTACCAACAGCAGGTGAAGGACAGCCACTGTCCTCCGGGGCAGGGACCTCACTGGCATGTGCTATGACACCAGAACCTACGCTGAATACCAACGGTAGGTGAAGGACAGCCACAGTCCCCTGGGGCAGGGACCTCACTGGCATGTGCTATGACACCAGAATAGGGCTATTTCTAGGAGTAAGGAGTCACTGGGCATCACCTGGACCTCAAAGCCAGGCAAGTTTGAGAAAGGGAAGTGAGTACCCACATGGGTCCCTGACCTCTGCAGACTAGTAAGAATGCAGCCTTCCACAAGGAAGGGCTCACGGTTCCTTCCAGTGGGGAGATGTGAGATGGTGCCTTCAGAAGAAGGGGAAGCAGGAAACCCCAATTTTAGGACTAAATGCACAATAAACATCACAGTGGCTTTTAGTTCCTACACTTAGAAGAAACAGGGCTGTGAGAAACCCTGGGCACCGAGCTGACCTCTTCCGGGGGGGCTGGAGTCCTTCCCACCAGGGAAGTTACTCCCCACCAGTTTCGGGTAGTGGGTGTCAGTAAAACCTTCCCGGGGAAAGGACTGAGTGCTTGCCTTGAGGGCTGGGGGAGAGCTGGAAATAGCACATGATACTCCAAGAGACCCACCCCAGGAACTGAGGCAGGAGAGGCAGCTCTGAAGGAGAGAAAAATGGGTCTGCAACCCCTGAGCCAATTAGCAGGAAGCATGGCATCTACTCACTGCCTCCCTTATCCCCAAAATGCGGAGGGTGGGGGTTCTTGGGTGCAATGTGTGTCCAGGCTTTTTAAAGACTGTATTTATTTATTCATGAGAGACACACACAGAGAGAGGCAGAGACACAGGCAGAGGGAGAAGCAGGCTCCCTGCAGGGAGCCCGATGCGGGACTAGATCCCAGGACCCCGGGATCATGACCTGAGCCAAAGGCAGATGCTCAACCACTGGGCCACCCAGGCACTTTTTTTTTTTTTAATTTTTAAGTTCTTGGATATTACTGCTACTCTATTTCCCATGTGCCTTATCATAACCTCTTAGGAGAAAGAGGGATGTGGACCTTATTTTATGGATGCTACATAGGTCATCCTGCCTGGAGGTGAACGCTATACTCTCACTCCCAAATGTAATAAGGGGAATGTGGTCAAACATACCCAACTCATAAACTGGCGTAACTACTTCTGTCTCCCATTGTCGGGACACCCAGAGAAAGCCACAGTAAAGGTCACAGCTTGGCTTGTGTCCTATTAAAAGTTGCTTAGTAAGCCTGAGCCAGGAAACAGAACTTGATCCTCAGGCCCCAAAGGAAACCTAAGCAAACCTAAGCCTCATCATTAAATTATTCTCTGTAGATCAGGGTTTAATTTGTTTTGGGTACCATAAAAAATACTGCATATGTAGTAGATAATCTGTAGTATAGAATTTCGTTATAAATAGGTCAGAACACATCTAGCCTTCAGATAAGGCTTAGAAATAATATACTTAATTTTGTAGTAGAAAAAAACCTGATCTTTATTAGTTTCTTTCCCTTTTGCAATATGGCACTTACTTCCTTGATGCAATTTTATTTTTTCTAATGTAAGCCAGGAGTACTATCACCAAATAGCAGCTAGAAATAAAAATCTTCTTTTTGTTCAACCAAAACCATAAACAGCATCATATTCCAGGAAAAAAATTTTAATGTCCATGAAAAGTATATTCAGTCAACATTCTAGGATTTATTTTTTGTATGGAAGCTGTGTTAAGCTTCAAGTGAGGCCAAGCAATATAAAAACTCTCATCACCTTGGGCCAAATAAAACTACCTTTTTAAAAGATAAACCAGATCATGTCCTGTTCCTTCTCAAAATCTTTAAAATCCTGTAGACTAAAAAAAAAAAAAATCCTGTAGACTAGGGGTGCCTGGCTGGCTGAGTCAGTAGAGCATGTGACTCTTGATCTCAGGATCGTGAGTTCAAGCCCCACCATGTTGGGTACAAAGCCTACTTTATTTATTTATTTATTTATTTATTCATTCATTTATTTATTTATTTATTTATTTTTAAAGACTTTATTTATTCATGAGAGACACAGAGAGAGAGGCTGAGACACACGCAGAGGCAGAAGCAGGCTCCACGCAGGGAGCCTGATGCGGAACCCGATCCCAGGACTCCAGGGCCATGCTGCGGGCTGAAGGCAGACACCCAACCGTCCCTAAAGCCTACTTAAAAAAAAAAAAAAAAAGTAATAAAAAAAAATTCCCTAAAGAGTGAAATCCTTAGCAAAGAATTTAGTAGAACTCTTCTGATCAGGGTACTCTCTTAGCCATATGCCAGGAGACCTGTCCATAAGGATATTTTGAATACATCTACGCACAAGGTACCAGGGTAAGGTGGGAGCTTATATACATTCATTTCACCTCCAGGGTTCCATGAAGTAGGTGTCAATAGCTGTGCTTTGGAATGGGAAGGCATCAAATAAGTTGTAGTTATAGCTAATTAATAAGGAACCAGGATTTGTACCAAAGTCTAAGCTTTCAGTCTTTATCTTATTCCCTTAATCCAATAAGCCCCTGAATGCTTGCTTCATGCACTTTCCTATTACAGTGTATTCAGTGCCTGCCACTTCCCCATCCCTAGCATGGCCTCTGGGGCCTCCACCCCAAATTACTTTTCTTTTTTTTTTAATTTTTATTTATTTATGATAGTCACAGAGAGAGAGAGAGGCAGAGACACAGGCAGAGGGAGAAGCAGGCTCCATGCACCGGGAGCCTGACTTGGGATTCGATCCCGGGTCTCCAGGATCATGCCCTGGGCCAAAGGCAGGCACTAAACCGCTGCGCCACTCAGGGATCCCCCAAATTACTTTTCAAGGACTAGTTCAGATACTGCCTCTTCCACAACGCTACCCCCACTTCCATGCTCAGCTAGAACCAATTGCTTCTTTTTTGCTCTCCACAAAATCTGCATTTCCCCCTTTAACAGTGCTTATTCTGCTGTATCTAAGTGTAGAACATGTGGCACCCCGCTATACTGAAGCCTCAAAGGGACACAATGTCTAATAAGCCAATTGTGTCCTGCCCCACATTCCTTCCTCAATAGGACCTTAGTCTCTGTTGCTCAATCAATGGTAGACAAACAGCCAACTGGGGTAGCCAGTTGTCCCTCATGTTTACATTTGCTCAGCTATTGGTGACGACGAGATCAAGGAGAACCTGCCACTGAGGTTATTCAGGACTGTTTTCAAGAAAGACTGGACTGCATGCAGTTCATGGCTCGTGATTCATGCGAAAGATCAAACATTCAGAAAACTGATGTGTTTCATGGCTTCCTGTTGCTCCAAATAGCGAATGACAAATATTAACCCCCACAAGGTACAGAATACACAGGTGTACTCCCTTCCTCCCTGGGTCACCATCAGAACTGTGGCTGAGAATCCACGTGTCTGCTCCTTCTAACACACCGTATTTTAACTCAATCCATTATTCGTGAGGGCATAAGGATGCAGTCTTATACTGTGTTAAATGAAAAACTTAAAAAATATGTTTACTGCCCCACCAACATTATCAAGTATAATTCCGTCCCTTTGGAAATCATAATTCAATAGAAGGTGCACACAAAAATCAAGGAGTCCCTTTATCCTACAAAGTCTAAGAAGGCAATGATTTGTTTTAAAGGACAAAAGCAGACCTCAAGAAGAACGGGTCCAAGAGAGGGCAGGATCCTGGCAAAATAGTACAGATTAATTTTAAAGATGGAAGCAACCAGTTAAAGACTTAAGCATTACATAATTTCCTATATGCTTCACATACATTTTATTTTTCCTCTCAAGAATATGAGATTAG